GTGCTTTTTCCTCTTGAGCAGGAATTGATCCTGGTAAAGAATCTGTTTTCTCTTCAACTTCAAGTTTGGATTCTGGTAAAGGATCTGTTTTCTCTTCAACTTCAAGTTTGGATTCTGGTAAAGGATCTGTTTTCTCTTCAACTTCAAGTTTGGATTCTGGTAAAGGATCTGTTTTTTCTTCAACTTCAAGTTTGGATTCTGGTAAAGGATCTGTTTTCTCTTTAACTTCAAGTTTGGATTCTGGTAAAGGATCTGTTTTCTCTTCAACTTCAAGTTTGGATTCTGGTAAAGGATCTGTTTTCTCTTCAACTTCAAGTTTGGATTCTGTAACTTCTAAAATTTTAAGTTTTTCCTTCAATTTTATTGTGTTATCTTCACAGTGGATACATGTTGATTTTTGTCTGCGATTAATCAATTCTTTTATCAGTTGACTATGGGGTTTCTTGTCTTGGTATAATTCTATTAATTTCGTTTTTACGTCATCCCAATTATCAAAATCGTACAAAGAAATTCGAATCTTGGCATTACCAGTGATTCTGGAGTAGATGAATCTGAAGAGTGGATACTTATTCTCTTCAGAGGACAATTCGATAGCATTATCACAATCAGAGATAAATGCATTAAGTTGGTTCCTTTCTCCGGAAAAGAAATTAGGAACTAGACTACACAAGAAATCAAGGGGTATTTGGGATGGGTTGAAAACAGGTTGATCAAGTTTAGGCATTGTTCACAAAATGAGTTACCTATTACTACTACTTACAATATAAAGAAATTCTGATAAAGAGTTAAAACCCACCAACATGAAACGAATTACTTAAGAATTCTCCGGTTTCTTGTCGTTCAGAATGATCCTTCATCGACTGCGCCAAAATTTTAATATGTTATATTCGGTTCGTTCTTTATTTTTGTAAGTAATGAACAAGCACTTAAAACTATCACTATAACAAAACTAATATTAATAAACAAGAACTTATTACAGCTAGACTAAAAATCAAATGAACCAACGCCAAGCTGTGTAGCTTGCCTATATTACTTTGGTCTTTCGTCAGTCAACTGTTTCGAACGAGCAACAATGGGAACTAGCAAACACTTGCAAATAAAATAAAAGAAGGAGTCTTTAGAAGCTTCGCTTCTAAAGAAGAACAATTCGAGTTCGTCGCCAGTCTTTTGTTTATAAAAATTTGAAAATGTGAATATTGAGTACGGGATCATAACAATATATATATATATTGTTTTGATCAGGAGTTACTTTTTATTAATGATTCTTCAAATCTCTTAAGAAAAAATTAAATCTTTTCTTTTTATTTTCGCGTTCTTAAAAAATTTTTATGTATTATTAAGTTTTTCTACTTTTATAATAAACACTGCAATTTTTTATATTTTTTTTTTTTACAAGATGTTGTTGTATCATATTGGATTGTTGCATTATCTGGCTTAATAGCTGGCACTAGCCAACTATGACTGTGTGTGTGTGTGTGTGTGTGTATGTGATACTGCACCGCACAGGGTCCTGTAATCTACCGTCAATCCTGATTACACAGTCTCGTAAATTTAACAACAAATTCTTCTTCAATTTCAATAATAATTTATTTTACGATGCCTCTTTAGATATTCGCCATTACAATAATATTATACAAGAGACAATCCCGAAGGGAAAATGCGATCTATGCTTCAGTTTATGCAATTCAAATGAAAATGTTTTTGAGACGTTTTTTTTTTTTTTTTCTTCCCAACGTTTCATTATTATTATTTATTTTTAAAAAAATCGTTAGCAACGAGAAAGTCATCATGCATTGAAAAACTTTACCGACATTTCTTTTCCTGTTGATGATCAAGACGAAAACCAAAAAAACCCCTACTTCCTTTTCTGATAAAAGTTAATCAGCAAGAAACATGTGTTTCCTTTAAATTTTAATAAATCTCGGTTTTTCAGCCGTAGTCTCATTATATTATTTCCCTCTTTATTATAATCGAAATAATTTTCATTCAGATTACAAGGAGTTGTTAGTTTTTTAGTTATTTATTTGAATGTTTACTTACTACGTCGGTGGTAAATATTATATATATAAAATTATTAAAATTCTACAACGTAGCGGCTCGTCTCTAGGTGTCTTGCTTTGAAGAGCGTGCGAGCTGCCTAGTGATAAGCGCAATGTCGTAGAAAAATTTCTCATCAGAATTTCAAATTTCTTATTTATTTATTTTTTTTACTACGTTTATGTTATATTTGAAAGAGTGTAAAACTTTTAATTTTTAAGATATTATATAAATGATTGATTGTTAAACACTGTAAGTACAAAGTAAATTATTCATTGATAATAAATAAAATATTATTTAAATGTTCAATTATGGTTTTTTTTTTTTTTGTTCCTTCATTTGAGAAAAGGAAAGAAATCACGAATTATGTTAAAATTTCCAGGCTGAAAATTAAAAAAAAAAAAAATTTATTACTATTATCTAATAAATATACTGTTAAATAATTTTTTTTTTTTTTTAATAACATTTTCTAATATACTGACCGTGGCACTCAAATTTAAATGTTACTGTTTATTGTTTTTGTGAAATTCTCCATTTTACACAATTTGACAACATTGAAAAAATAAAAACAAAGAGTTGTTTTGTCTGTGTGTATATATGTTGTCAAAAAAAAAAAAAAAAAAAAAAAAAATAGATACACGCGCGGTCAAGCGCGCGCGCTTCAACATCATACACACACGCGGCCACACAAAAAACGCTTACATCATGGATAATAATAATAACAATAATAATAATAATAATAATATTTAATACAATGATAATATAAAAGTTTATTTTTTCTTTTTTGTTTTAACACATGGCAATCATTTTTGAATTATTTTCAAAAATAATTAAATGTACCAATTTATATTTGACATCCGGTCGAGCAGCCTTTACCTATGGGAAATCCCCGTCAAAATCCCCCTACATCCTTGAATCAAACAGGAAAAAATCAGTATTTTATTTCATTGGATCATTTATTGAAATGATGAAAAATAAAAGAAAAAGTGAGTTGGATCCAAGAGAAGAAGTTGTACATAATATTGCTTTGGCCACCATAGCTTTAAAAGTATTTACCGAAGAATTACGTTAATTACAAAAATTGAGTGAAAGAGGATAATATTTTTTTTTTATTCTTTCGCTTCTTAACAAACAATTATATAAAAATTAAGGAAAATCGATTTTATTCAACCTATATGTATATATATACATATTAAAAACGACTCCGTCAATAAATCAATTTTTTTTTTCCCCCCCGTTTTTTTTTTTTTTCCTTTTCAGGATGGGAATTTAGAAAAATCGGAAAAAAAATTTTTAAACACTCTCACTCTGGCTGAAATAAATAATGTTTACGTCGGAATCATTTTTATTTGCGATTTTTTGTCATCTGTATACATGAATTTGGGAAATTATGAGAAAGCGGAAGATTTTTTACTTCAAGGTTTGGAAAGTTTACCCAAACTTGGAATACCGGGAGACGATAATTTTGTGGTAATTATGGGAATTTTAAATAAATTATTTAAGGAAATAAAAATCGTGCCGTCGTCGTTATTATGAATTTACTCGAGTCAAATTGTATATTTCGAAAATATCCTTTCTTAACCAAGGGAATATAGAATGTAATAGCGAAATATCACGTGAGTTTCTTAAAAAATCATTTCATATTTTCAGGTTAATTTTAATCTTAAATTATCGAGGTTGTACAGCAGTAATGAAAACGATGAATTAGCTGAACTAAGTTTTAAAAATTGCATGGAAATGCAAAAAAAAAAATTAGAAAATTCAATTGACGAAGAAACCTACATCTTGTGGATGACCATTCTATATTGGTATGGAAAATTTTTGATAGGTAAAAATCGTGTGAAAGAAGCAAAATCGTGTTTTAGAGATTGTTATTTAACATCTACTAAAGTCGCAAACGTTTCACCAAATCAAATCATGGTTATTTTA